TTGAAGGACCTATCTGAGAGGTAAGACTCAAACCACTGGTGTGCGGTTCCTGAGATGCCCTTTGCCAATAGGGTTGGCAGGAGAATCTGGTGGTTCACCATATCAAAAGCAGCTGACAGATCCAGCAAGATAAGTATTGAAGATTTGGAATCCGCTCTTGCCAGTCTTAGGGCTTCAACAACTGAGAGCAAGGCAGTCTCGGGTCGAATGTCCACTTCTGAAGCCAGATTGGTTGCTGTCTAGGAGGTTGTTCTGTGTGAGAAAGGCAGAGACTTGGTTGAACACAACTCGTTCAAGTGTTTTTGCAATGAAAGGTAGAAGGGAAACCGGTCTGTAGTTTTCTAAAAGAGTTGGGTTAAGAGTGGGTTTATTAAGAAGTGGGGTTATACAAGCCTGTTTAAATGTTGAGGAAAAAACACCAGTGTGAAGTGATATGTTAATGATGTGAGTGAGTGCAGGTAAAACGGCAGGAGAAATGGCTTGAAGGAGATGAGATGGAATAGGATCAAGCGGACAAGTAGTAGGATGATTGGAAAGGATGAGTTTAGAGACTTCTGCCTCAGAGAGTGGAGAGAAGGATGAAAACGAGTGTATGTTTGCTGGAAAGATGTGTTTGACAGTTTGTGGTGGGGCAAATTGTACACTGAGGTTCGTAATTTTATTAATGAAGAATGTGGCAAAGTCGTCAACTGTTAAAGTTGATGAAGGAGGGGGAGGAGGAGGACAAAGGAGGGAGGAAAATGTTTTAAAGCGCATGTGAGAGTTAGGCAAATTATTAATTTTGTTGTGATAGTATGTCCTTTTAGAGACATTAGCAGAGAATGAAGAGAGGGGTGATCGATATACATTAAGGTCAGTAGGATTTTGTGATTTGCGCCATACTCTTTCTGCAGCTCTGAGCTTAGAACGATGCTCACGGAGAACATCAGATAGCCAAGGGGCAGAAGAGGTGGTATGAGCTGGCCTGAAAGACAAGGGGCAGACAGTGTCTAAACTAGGGGTGCTCCGATTAGGATTTTTGAGGCCGATCGCTGATCACAGAAAGCAGTCTCTGCCGATACCGATCACCGATACCGATCTTTTAAAGCCTTCTTTTTATCATTTATAACTATTTATAGTGATACTCCAATCAGGATTTTTAGACTTTTATTCAGGGCCTGAATTACAATTTTGAAAATGGGGGGAATTCCACTCTTAGGTGACTCTTAAGAGAGGGGAAGCAGCTTTCACACAGGAGTCCACTACTGGTCCGTGGCTGTTTACCACAAACACAACATTTATCCATTAGTTTGATTTCAAATCCAAACATTGTCACTGAAAATGCTTTTTCAGCATTGCAATTCTTTTTTTACATGCAATTTTTCACAGACATGTTTAAACACAATAAATATAAGCAACACATTATTCAATGCTTTTTACTTTTGCATTTACTTCTAGATTTATATATTATGTTGCTCAAGCAAGTGGCAAAACATTTAAACTACTTTTCTTACGTTATCACAAACTTACCATTGACAGAAATAGTCAGCTCTACTGCCTTTTCTTCTGCATTTAAATCTTTATTACAAGCTTTAAATCTTTATTACAAGCTTTAAACCTAGCCAAAAATCCATACGTGTTGACTGTGAAACACAGTAGACTTTAATAATATGCATTTATGGTGTAATTACTAAATTTTTGTGTCAATCCATGTTTATATTTACTCCAAACAATGTGCTGTTACTTTAATTCAGCGCGTGCAGCACAGCAATAGTCTCGGTGTGGAAACGATCTCTGCACTGCTGCAGACACACCGCTACTGGAATGTACTGCCGGACCGCAACCGTGTGCAGTGTGAACGCTTTATTAATCCGTTAACACGAGCGTGGAAAAAAATATGCACCATGAATGCACTGCAAACGGAGCAATGTGAACCTGGCATTATGTGTGCTACGAGTGTGCATGAGCGCAGTATCCAGGAGAGCGTGCGAGCGCTGAATGGTTAAACACTGGCAAGAATGAAAGTAATGCAGTTTATAAACGTTATTGACGATGTGACACTGCCTCGATTGTGCAAGTGACAATTCCTGTGTCAGCTGTGCAGCGTGCAGCTCGCTTATAGAGAAAGAGAGAGCGCGCGCGCGCTGTGATTCACTCACACCGTTTGTGAAATTACGTCTCACACAAGATTTTCAAATTACTTTATAAGTTATA